ATGGGAGCATGGGGGTGGGGGATGAGGTCAGGGAGGGGTGCACGAGGAGGGATGAGCGAGAGACTTCAAGAATCAGCTGTCTATGGAGAACAGCAAGGATGGAAGGGACTCGTAGTAGTGACAAGACAGACAGACAGGCAGACAGCGGGTCCAGCGACCCTGTGCTGCGCAGCGTGTGGGGACTCACCCCCGATCTCTCTTTCTCTCCATGCAGGTTTACTCTCCAGTGACCCCAGTGCCCACCATGGCCCCCCTCAACTCCTACATGACCCTGAACCCTCTGAGCTCTCCCTACTCTCCTGGGGGGCTCCCTGCCTCCCCGCTGCCCTCAGGACCCCTGGTGCCCCCAGCCCCCACAGCGCCCCTGGGCCCCGCCTTCCCAGGCCTGGGTGGCAGCAGCGGAGGCGGTAGCTCAGGGTACGGGGGCCCGGGCCCGGGGCTGGGGCCCGGGAAGGAGATGCCGAAAGGGTACCGGCGGTCCCTGGCGCACGCCAAGCCGCCCTACTCCTACATCTCGCTCATCACCATGGCCATCCAGCAGGCGCCCGGCAAGATGCTGACGCTGAGCGAGATCTACCAGTGGATCATGGACCTCTTCCCCTACTACCGGGAGAACCAGCAGCGCTGGCAGAACTCCATCCGCCACTCGCTGTCCTTCAACGACTGCTTCGTCAAGGTGGCGCGCTCCCCGGACAAGCCGGGCAAGGGCTCCTACTGGGCCCTGCACCCCAGCTCAGGTAACATGTTCGAGAACGGCTGCTACCTGCGCCGCCAGAAGCGCTTCAAGCTGGAGGAGAAGGCGAAGAAAGGGGGCGGCGGGACCTCTGCCACCAGGAACAGTTCAGGGGCTGCCACGTCGACCACCACCCCAGCTGCGACGGCCACCTCTCCACCCCAGCCCCAGCCTCCGCCCCCCGAGCCTGAGGCCCAAGGCAGGGAAGACGTGAGGGCTCTAGACTGTGGCTCTCCCCCGTCCTCCGCACCCTATTTCACTGGCCTGGAGCTCCCAGGGGAGCTGAAGCTGGATGCTCCCTACAACTTCAACCACCCTTTCTCCATCAACAACCTGATGTCGGAACAGACACCAGCGCCCCCCAAACTGGACGTGGGGTTTGGGGGCTATGGGGCAGAGGGTGGGGAGCCTGGGGTCTACTACCAGGGCCTCTATTCCCGCTCTCTGCTTAACGCATCCTAGCAGGGGGGTAGGAGCATGGTGGGTGGGGTGTGGCTGGTGGCAGCCTGATTCTCCAGGTGACACTTTGCTTGTCCCCACCAGTGAACATCTGGTCTATTACTTACTGTGGTGACTACGCTTCTGTGGGCATCATGTCAACCTATTGGGTACTGTGATAATTGCCTTCGACATCTTGGTGGGCCATCGGGTACTGTGAAGACCACCGTGTTGATCCATTGGGTGGTCTGATGGCCACCATTGGGGATGACATCCTGGTTGGCCCTTTGGACACTGTGATGGACATCCTCTTGGCTGATCCGTTCGTTGTGATGGTGATGCTGTTTCAATTGCATCTTCTTTGGCCCGTTGGGTGCTGGGATCACTGTTCTTTGGTGGACTTCATGGCATAGTAGGTGCCAAGTTGGCCACCATTCCGCATAACACCTGTTTTGGTCCATTGGGTGCTGTGATGGCCGCCATATTGGCTGGCTCACATAATCGCGCACCAACCCCTGTGTTGGCCATGTTGTCACTGTCTGGTGTGAGTTGAATGAGGGCTGGAGATGAGAATATGCCTTGGTTTTTTTGAGCCCATTGCCCGTTCTGGTTCAGGAGAAGCCAGAAAGGACTGGCAGGGTGTGGGGAATTCTACTGAAGTCTGGTTCTTGCCTGGGAAGTGGGATACTGGCTGTGTCTGAACATTAAAGGACCATTTCTGCCTCTTCCAGATGTCTCTTTTCCTTGCTGGGTGGGCCCTGTGGAACTTGGAACACCTGAACTGCTCTTTCTCTGTCCCCTCTCCTTCCTACCCCCAAGAGCTGGCTGCCTCTGGGGGAGGGGTTGGGGGAGGCATCGACCTGACCTTTGGCTCTTTGCTGTCCCTGACCCCAAGGACAGTTTGCTCACAGATAGCAGCCCCCGCAGCGCTGGGGCCAGGGCAGCAGGGGGAGGTGGCTGTGCAGTGACCAAGGCCATGTCCCCACCCCCACTCCGCAGACACACACCCTCAGCTCTGAGGCCCCGGGAGCCCAGGGGCTGCTCAATTTTTGGTTAAAGTGTGGAGAAGAGGGACAAACAAGTGTTAATTGAAAGAGCCTGTGTGTTGGAGCCTGTGTGTGTGTGTGGTTCTCTGGGTCTCAGGCTGTTAGGTGTATCTCTGTGTGTCAGTTTGTCTGCATACCCATTGTCTCAAAGTGTGTGTGTGACTGTCCGTGTTGCAGATGTTCCTGTCGTTGTGTTTCATGAGTATCTCTGTCAGCATCTGTCTGTTTAAAAGAGAGGCTGCTTGTGTTTACATATTATGCCTGTCTTTGCTGTGTGCCTGTCACCATCGTATGGAGGGTCAGCTAGCCCTGGTGTGTGTCTGTCACTTTTGCAGGTGGGCGTGTGGGGAAGGAGCTGGGTTCTCCTTCGGCCTCTGGGGGCCTCTGGCTTTGGGGCCTGCATGTCTCTGTGCCTCCAGGTCTTTCCTTAGGCTCTGAGACTGAGGTCTGTTACTCAGGTGTCTTGAGGACATGGCTTTCTCAGAAATACAATTTGCACTTCACACCCCTCATTTCACAGATGGAAACTGAGGCCCAGAATGGGAAGGCACCGGACCAAGGTCATTTGGCCAGACCGGAGCAGGGGGGCAGGGTTGGCCTGACATGGTCTTTTCCTTATTTCACCTTTGTATTTTAGTCATTGGCTCTCTGTCACTCATTCATGCATTCAGTCCTTCAAAGCCCAGGGGCTGTCTATGTATCTGTGTGGGTGATGTCTCTCCCAGTCTGTCTCCAAGTGTGTGTGTGCCTGTCTGTGCTGCAGGTGTGCCTGTCATTGTGTGTTTCATGAGTATCTATCAGTATCTGTCCGTTTAAAAGAGAGGCTGCTTGTGTTTGCATATTATGTCTGTGGTCATCTTTCTCTTTGTCTCTTAATGTCATCTCTCTCTGTCACTTGGTCCCAACCCTCTCTCTCTGTCTTTATCTCTGTCCTTTGGTTTTTTTGAAAATGTTTGCTCATTCCCTCTTCTGTCTCTCATATGGTCTCCCTCTCTCTCCCCCGTTCCCCCTCACCCTCTTTTCTCCCCCCCTTTCCCTCTCTCTCTCTCTCATTCTCTCCATGGTTTTGCCTCTGTCCCTCCCTCTCTTTGGGCCTCCAGGTCTTTTCTTTCTAGAGGACTCTCTAGGGGACTTCCTTTTCTCTCTTGGGGTCCACCTCCCCCCACTCCTTTGGATCTCCGGCCTCTCTCCTTCTCTGGTCGCCCTCTCCCAGTTCCCTAAGTTTCCGCCTCTACCTGCCACCTCGCACAGGCCAGGCCCTCTATTTCTGTCGCTGTGCCCGCCCTGCCGGCTGCGTGTCACCCCCGCCCCCTGCCGTCCTGGCTCCCTGTCAGTCGTCCCACCAGCCTCGCTGTCCTGGGCAGGCTGGGGAATTCCTCCTGGTTCCTGGAAAAAACAACTGGGGCCGAGAGAAAGGCCCTCAGTCTCCCCGGGCGCCTGCCCCCCCCCCTCGGGCCTGGGGGTCTCTCCCGGAGTCGGCCGGCCCGAGGCAGGAAGCCCTGCGGTTTCTGGCTTCTCCCAGGCGGCCTCCGGATCTGGCCCCCGCCCCCCCGGCCAACAGCCCAAATATTATTCCGCGGGAGGAGTCGGTGGCAGCGGGAGGAGGCCCGGGCTGAAAGAGGCTTTCAGGGCGGCCAGGCCTGGGGCTTCCTGTCCCCAGGCTCGGGCCTCAGGCCGCCCCTGTGGGGACCTCAGGTGGCCGGAGGGGCGGGTGTTGTTGTAGGGTCCTGGGGGGAGGGTGGGGCCATCCATCAGGGTGTCTAGTGGCCACCAGCTCGGCTGGCGTGGGCAGGTGTGACCCCCACCCCAGGGACAGCCGGCTGATGTCCAGCGTGGAAAAGTACCACAGTCAGACGTGGGACGCATGGACAGACATGAGGACGCCAGTGATCAGGGATGGAGGGATAGCCATGGGGACACGGGAAGCCTGGTCTGGGAACACATGGACCTAGTAGACACAGTTTGTGGGCTTGAGGTGACATGGTCCAAGAAAGGGGTCCATGGGTGGGGGAACAGGGCAGGGGCAGGGTCCCTGCGCTGGGCAGGGGGCCAGCTGCGTCAGAAGGCAGGAGATGACGATGACAATGATAATAGTAATAGCCACGAGGGTTTACCACGTCAGACACTGTATGAACACCTGACAGAACTGATTGACAGCATCCTTCCCACCCCCCCTGTTATTATAGGTGAAACTGAGGCACGAAGAGGTGAAGGGACTTGCCCCAGTCACACAGGGAGTACTGAGTGGGGGAACTAGGACTTGAACCCAGGCAGCATGGCAGAGCCAGTGCCCTTGCCCGCCAAGCTGTTCTAGAGCCTGGGGGGGGCAACAGCAGCCAGGGGGCCCTGGGGGCCCCAGCCCCCCCACAGCACCCCACTCCCACCACAGCCTGCTGCAGGGGGCACTCCGGAAGCCAGCAGCTGGGCAGCTTATGAGTGTGTATGCGCGTGTCCCTGTCAATGTGTCACTGGGTGTCACGCATGTATCCTGGTGTCAGGGTGTCATGTCATTGTGTCTGCGGACTTACATGTTAACTGTGATGTGTCCCTGGTCACCGTGTTCCTGTGTGTTTTGTGTGCCTGTATGTGTCTTTGTCAATGTCTGTTACTGGGTTTCTGTAGGTGTTGCTGTGTTTGTGTCACCATTCTGTCTGTCGTTGTCTTCTGTGCATCCGTCGCTGCGTCTGTTACAGTGTGTCTTTGTCACCGGGGTCTGTGGGTCTGTTTATGTCTCTGACACTCTGGGTCTGCCTATATCTGTCTCTGTGTGTCACCGTTTCTGTCCCTCTATGTGTCACCATCTACCCAGGTGTCACCACGTTACTCACTGCCCAGGCCACAGGTGGGCGTGTCGGGCCCACTGGTGCCAGAGCTGGGGCCCATCCCATCCCACTCGCCATGGGCCAGGCCGGGCGCCTGTTTGCAATGCCTGCCCCAGGTAAACACCAAGATCCGGAACCCAAGGGCCACCTCCCTCACCTCCACCCTTGCCCCTCAGCCTGCCCTGGACCGGGCTGGACCAGAGCCCCACAGGCGGTGCCTGCCCCCAAATTGGAGCTGTGCCCTGACCCTCCCCCACCCTTAGTCACCAGCCTCCCGAAGCCCCAGCCTTGGCCCCGGCCCGTCTGTCTGTCTGCTTTTCTCTGTGTGTGTGTCTGCTGGCCCCTCTGTCTCTTTCTGTCCCTACTTCCTCTCACCTGGGTTTCTCTGTGGTGTCGCCTTCCCCTAGAATGACCTGTGTCTTCCTTCTGTCACTGTCTACCTTAACCTTTCTGTCCTTTCTCGGTGAAATTTGTCCTCCTGATCTGTCTCCACTCGGGCAGCCTACTCCCGGCCAGTTCTACCTCTGGGACTCTCTCCGCCGCTCTTCTCTCTCACACTTTGCAAGTTTCTCTCTCCTGTTGGTGTCCCTCTCAGTCCCAGCCTCTCAGTGTCAGCCACTGTCTCTGGGTGTCTCCGAGCCCCCAGCCACTACAGGAGCAGATCTCTGCCATGTGGGCCCTCAGGGGAGTGTGTGGCCCCCAGTCTCCCGCCCCCAGCCCGCCGATTTTATATATATATATATATATATATATACACACACACACACACACGTATAAAGATATATGTCCGTATTATTTATATCTGTACCCGGGGGCAGAAGGGCAGACACTGGGGCCTTTGTGTAGCCGCTGCCCGCTGCCCGCCCGCCCGCCACTCCTCTCCCTTCGTCCCTGCCGCCTGCCCGCCTCCACTCCCCCCGCACAGAAAGGTTCCTGTGGGGCCTGCCAGCTTCCTCTGCCTGAGGTGTGAGTGGGCACGCCACGGGCGAGGCGGGCAGGGGGGCCTGGGGGATTTTTCCAGCTTCAGGGAAGCTTTCCGGGTGGGGAGAGCTCTGAAAGAAATGGGACTTCTCAGCCGGACTACTGTGTCTGTTGTCCCTGAGCGTCCCCAGCTCCTTACCTGGCTTGTCCCCGGGAGTCTGTCCATCCATCTAATGCCATTCTGACTTTTTCTCTGCTGGTCTGGTTCTTACTCACTCATGCACACACTGCCTTTGAGCATATGTGCTAGGTCCTCTACTGAGCCCCGATCACATAAAGGAGATGCTATCCAGCCCAGCTGATTCTTTGACATTTGTCTCATTTGCTCCATCCCTTCTCTCTACCTGTTCAAGACAAAATTCAAACTCCTACCATGGCCTGCAGGGCCCCTGATGCTCCCTTACTATCCCTCTAACCTCATTCTGATGACTCTCCCCCTTGCCATAGCTGCACTGGTCACGTGGATGCTTCTGGAACAAACCAAGCAGGCTCCCACCTCAGGGCCTTTGCATGTGCTATTCCCCCAGATTTCTCCTTCCTCGCTCCCTCACCTCCTTCAGTTCTTAGTGTCATCTCCTCAGTGAGCCCTTCCCTACCTCCCTCTTTAAATAGCAACCTCCTCCATCATGCTCTATCCATTTTCTCTGGCTTATTTTATTATTATTTTTAATCTTCACTCAAGGGTATGTTTATTGATTTTAGAGAGGATGGGTGAGAAAGACAGAGAGAGAGAAAACCATAAATCGGTTGCCTCTGGCCTCTGACTGGGCATCTAACCCACAACCTAGGTATGTGCCCTGACCTGGAATCGATCCCACAGTCTTTTTGGTGTATGGGACGATGCTCCAACCAAGTCACCCGACCAGGGCCTCT